AATTTTGTCTGGGCAACATGTTTGTCGTCTTCATTTTTTTTGACATTATGCTGTTTTTGTTTACATTATGTAGGTTTTTCTACAAGATGTTAACTTAGCACTTAGTTGTACGTGTTGCCTAAACGTCATAAGGCATGTTATCAATCTTTGGCTCTGATGTGATGTAAAGTCTGCTTCTGAGATGGCATTACTGGAGGTCTTAACTGTAAGTTGTATACTAAGTGACATATAAATCCGAACACCCAGTTTAAATGGTTTTATTTTAATAAAATTTTGTATAAGTACTTAATGAAGCATAATAAGTAAATGATAAAAATTTCAAAATGATTGCACTGCTTTAAAGCCCTTTGACCTTTAATAATGTGTGGATGCACTCTGATGTGCTACGCATTCTCCAACGCGCCTAGGCATGCTTCTGATCAGGTGGTCAATGTCCTCCTGTGGTATCTCATTCCAGGCAACCACCAACTTCTCTCGCAGTGCTTCTAGAGTCTGAGGAGGACGTTGCAAATTGAGCAATCTCCTACCCATCATATCCCACACGTGCTCAGTTGGGGATAAGTCGGGATATCTTGGTGGCCATGGTAACAATGTGTCATCATTATGTTGAAAGAAGTCTATTGTGACTCTTGCAACATGTGGTCGGGCATTATCTTGTTGGAAAGTTGGATCTGCCAGGGTGTCAAGATAGGGTAAAAGATGGGGTTCTAGAACTTCGTGGATATAACGCTGCGCGTTCATGTTACCTCTGATGAAGATTAAAGGTGACCTGGAACCATAACCCCAAACCATAACTCCAACAGTGTGATGAACATGTCTTTCAAAAAAAACTGTGGATTCCTCCTTTCACCACGTCGCCTTCTAACCCTGGCACGACCATCGTGCATGCCTAAACAAAATCGAGACTCGTCACTAAAGACAATACTGTTCCATTCCTGATCCCAGAGTGACCGTTGTCTGCACCACTCAAGGCGATTACGTCGGTGTAAGGATTAGAAGGCGACGTGGTGAAAGGAGGAATCCACAGTTTTTTGTTGAAAGACATGTTCATCACACTGTTGGAGTTATGGTTTGGGGTGCTATAGCTTATGGTTCCAGGTCACCTTTAATCTTCATCAGAGGTAACATGAACGCGCAGCGTTATATCCACGAAGTTCTAGAACCCCATCTTTTACCCTATCTTGACACCCTGGCAGATCCAACTTTCCAACAAGATAATGCCCGACCACATGTTGCAAGAGTCCCAATAGACTTCTTTCAACATAATGATGTCACATTGTTACCATGGCCACCAAGATCTCCCGACTTATACCCAATTGAGCACCTGTGGGATATGATGGGTAGGAGATTGCTCAATTTGCAACGTCCTCCTCAGACTCTAGAAGCACTGCGAGAGGAGTTGGTGGTTGCCTGGAATGAGATACCACAGGAGGACATCGACCACCTGATCAGAAGCATGCCTAGGCGCGTTGGAGGATGCGTAGCACATCAGGGTGCATCCACACATTATTAAAGGTCAAAGGGCTTTAAAGCAGTGCAATCATTTTGAAATTCTTATCATTTACTTATTATGCTTCATTAAGTACTTATACAAAATTTTATTAAAATAAAACCATTTAAACTGGGTGGTCGGATTTATATGTCACTTAGTATATGTATTGATGATAATTACATTGAGTTCTTATCGCAAATACACTAAATTGAAGCTAGAAATTAGTTGCGCATCCACTTTTACTTATCCATTCTGGAAATTACGTATTCAAACTTGCTGAATTTCAAAAATGAGAGAGATAAGAAATAATTATATTCACTGTACACTGTCGAATTGCAAGCCATATATGTACATGCTAATAGTAATTACACACAACGCGGGCACGTAAATCTCATTTTTTCATAATTTATAACTTTTCATGAAGCGCAACATGAAAATAACCCGTCGGGCACAGCCAATAGATATACTTCATTGGCAACATATTCAGTAATGATTCTCTCACACAGCAAATATCACTGATTTTATACACATGCGGACCAAAAGACATAATCATCCAGATGCGATCTTGCTATTCAACCAACTTTCTTCCCAGAGATAAAAAATACAGACAATGGTACCACTCGGTCTCACAAAACATATGCAACCAATAATGCGTGCAGTTTAGTTGAGTGATTTCTCCATAGATGGACGTTCACAACGATCCTAGTGAGCAAACGTGGAATGACTGTTTTATAGGTTTTTTCGCAGATCTCAGTGTTCAGACCTTAACTGACCTTAAATAAGCAACACAAGCCTGGGGAAGTACGTCGAGATGCTTAAAAAGTATGCCTCTTTATAAATAATTTATCACTCACCATGACCTTGATATCCCGAGGATCGTCATAGTAATTTGGATAAATCAAAATCTTCGAATGAGGATTCTTATCTTTCAAACGTAGCCTTCCTCTACTTTTCGGCCTCAGAAGCAATGTTAGGATATTAAATGCTTCTTTATAAATAATATCTTCGTAAATTGCTGAGTAATATTCATCTGTGAGTCCGACTGCTCTCTTACTGAACAAGCCTCCGTCTGTACTGTCAGCATACGCTGTTATGAAGTATTGTATGTCTGGCCAATCTTCTTTTTCGTCTTGATACTTCGTATTTACAAAACCCATGACCTAAAAAACGTTACGGAACTAAAACTTTTTGTTTCTTCACCGAGTCAATCTGCTTGACGCTATATTTTCCGTTTTTTTCTTTTAATAAATCATTCATGCCTGTGAAGACGATGCTTGAAAGTCAAAGTTGCCTCGCAGAAATTACTTTAAATTTCGAAAAGCTTCTTTCAGCTGTTGAGAGCGCTACAAATAGCAAGCATTGAGATTGTAAAAAACACTACGCGGTATCCCGTAGGGGGACGGCACAAGGACTCTAGTGAGGAAACACGTATACATATGACATGCACATAGTCTGGCCCTGCCTTAGACATCCGCCGGGTGGTACCTCCACGTACGACAGTCCGAGACCGTCTGCCACTTACGGACAATCCATGAGATAAATTCTATCGGGAAGCTTCTCACGACGACTGATTAGTAGACACGTAGCGTCTACCACTAAAATTTGTCTAATGATGCTAATTCTTCTTGAATGATTTATCAATTGTTGATGCGATTTGGGGGAAACAGTATTATTAGCTTGAATATACCTCGCTTGCTGGTAGCCAGTAGATTGGCCCCTCATGATTCTGTGCAAATTTATTTATTGTTTCTGTAGAGAACACCTCTGGCAGTTGGAAACTATACATTGCGGTCTTGTTCTCATCGTGCGGATCGAACAAGTATGTTGTGCCTCCCATTGCTACATGATCCTGAAAAGATGTATTGAAAATTAGTAGTAGCAGGTCTTTGAATCAAACGCCTAGCCAACGTTATGAACAACACCAAAGCTCAATAGCTCTCCGTACTCGAAAACGGTATCCCTTCCTCCATATTAGTTAATATACATGGCTATGGTACTCATTATTGAAATGGGTAACAGGGGGGTCACACATGACAACAGCGCGTCTGTCTTTCATCACTATTATCGAACCGGCAATCGATCGCAAACGGTAACAGTGGTTAGTTATCGTTTTGCATAGATAAATTACTTTATCGTTTTGTCGAGCAGATCATAGGGCGTGTTGTTTTGTTTTTGTTCGCGTACGTCGTCGTGTTTATTTACAATGTTCTCGAATCATGAGTTCGCCGATATGTTGTTAGTTTACGGTGAAGCTCGTCAGATTTCAAATCTTGCAGCTCAAATGTATCGCGACAGATTTCGCCAACGGGTACACCCAGGCAGAAGGACATTTGTGCAATTGTACCAAAGACTTCACTTCACCACCTATAACATTTTACGATTATTTTTGCACTGATCAGTGCATCATCATTTGTTGATTTTGAACAAAATGTGGCAACACCGCAGAAAACTGGTAGCTACTCGAGTTTGTGTTTCACTCCAGATGATTGATAATCCTTTGTTTACGTCTTCTACCCGTATTCGAATTCGTTGATTACAACGGAGCCAGAATTTGTGGTTTCTTCATGACGGGGCACCACCACACATTTTTAGAGGCGTCATTCAGTATTTGAATGAGCATTACCCAAATCGCTGGATCCTCCTAATCCTCGAAAATGGCCAGCAAGATCTCCTGACCTCAATCCGATAGATTTCTGGTATTGGCGAGAACTTAAAGGGATGGTTTATGGGGCTGGTCCAATAACAACTGAAGCACAACTGCGCGAAATTTTTTTAAGGCGGCTGTAATAATGAATGGACAACTTCGAGAACCTAGAGTAAGAAGAAACTAGGTTCGTCGTAATGAAAAGTTTGTGTGGAAAGTGGAGGACGACATTTTGAACACCTTCTTTAAATACAAAAAAAGTGCAGTGTGGGTTTTGAAAAGAAAAACAATATATGTATCAATATATTTATAAGTGGATTTTTTTAATACGTTCAGTAAACTTTCACACACCAGGTGAAGCGCTAAGACAGTTAGTGATAAGTCCGTTTTTTTTGTAATTGTTTGCATTTTACGAGTACATTATCAAATAATGAAATATTACCTAAGAGCCAAAAATAACAAACTCCATCTTTATTTACTCTGCGTTCCGTTGTAATTTGCGACTGGAATTGCGGCCTTGTCAGATTTTATTTTACTTTAAAGTCGCGTTATATGTTATATGAAACTTTTTGCTACTTTTAACCCCTTCTATCACCCATTTAAATAATGACTATCATAACGTTTACACCCTGTATATTTTGTTCAGCTTTCGTCGATTTATACATAGCGGGCTCTAAAGTTACTTTATCGCCCTGAGTGGGACTAGAAAACGTAGACTTTACTATTTATAGATAAAAGTTATTCACACCTGTAAGTTCTGACCAACACCTGGTGAGTCCACCAGAACGTCAATTCCATGTGCTTCCAAGTGGATTTTAGGTCCAACACCAGATAACATGAGTAAGTGAGGGGAGCTCAAAGCACCAGCACTTAATATCACTTCTCTTTCTGCATATACTGTTCGTTTAACACCAAATTTGTCGAATACCACTCCATATGCTTGCATTGTGTCGTTGTGGATGAGCACCTTTTCTACCTTTTCGGGAAAAAGACAATAAAACTAAGAGATAGATAAATAAAAAAAAGTGAATTCTACTACTCATAGAAAATTAAGTAATTAGATGTGCACAGTGAATAAAAAAGTGAGTACTAATTCTCAAGGTCGATCAAACCTAGAGTTGTGTTCATTTTTCTATAAATTGTTTAATTTCATGAATTAATTCCAAAAAAAGCAGTGCTAGCACTGAAGTTTGAAAGTGTGGGCATCGTTTCCTGCTCTATAGGCAAGGGAAGTATATACAGGGTATCCCAAAAAATAATGGTAGAGAAAGCAACCTGTGTAGTGTCCGAAATATCCCCATATATAAATATGTATATATACAGGGTGTTTCAGTTTATTGTTGCATAACTTTAAGATTCGATAGAACCTTTAAAATTAATGCATAAAGTCTATATAAACATGGGTCGAAAAATGCGTGGCTTCCGAAATACAGGGTGTTTAAATTTACTTTCTAAAATAGTTTTTTTTAAATATTTTGAACAATATTTGATGTATAACAGTGAAAATTGGTATGCAAGGGTTTTTTGGTACGACAAAACGAACCATAGTTTTACTGTAGCCGCTAGAGGGCGCTCTCTACTGTATCTGTAGTGTATTAAAATGACCGAAAAATTTTTCTTAGTGCAATTTTTTGCTTTTTCAATAAAAAACTGATACCTCGAAATTTTCAACATAAAAAAGCTCTCCTGTGAGTTTTGGTTATAGTTATCCGTTTTTGAGATATCGCGATTTTTAAGGTTCGATTTATTTTTAATTATTTATGATAAAATAACGTTAAAAAGTCAGTATCTCGATAATTTTTAGCAGTAGGCTGTGCCTGAAAAATATTTTTGAAATTGAAAGCAGAGTAAGGTTAAACGTCAATTAGTTGACAGTTAGTTTTGTTGTCTGAACCTGAAACGTTTTTTTGCAATTGTGAATGCACGAAATTTAGTTTCTTTTACCTATTTTTTTTTGTAGGTTTTATAAAAATGCCATTTTTATTCTCCAATCAAGAGTTAGCGGATATTCATTTTGTGTATGGCTTTGTAAATGGAAACGCAGCAGAAGCAGCCAGAGAATACGCACGAAGATTTCCAAACAGACGACATCCAACTCGCTCAGTATTTGTAAGAGTTGCATCGCCAAATAATTGAAAATGGTTTTGGAAAAATCCAAAGGGATCAAAACATAAATGTTCGTCCGCAAAGATTTACCCGTATGATTCTGCGTGAGTTTGATAGAGATCCGACCACAAGTGTTAGGAGAGTTTCTGGTGCCTTGGGAATTTCAGCAAGCCATGTTCACCGTGTTCTTAGAAATGTCCATAGACATCCTTACCATTTGCAACCTGTGCAAGGACTACAGCCAGGGGACGGAGAACGAAGAATCACATTTTGTCAGCGGATTCTTGATAGAACTGACAATAATAAGGAGTTTTTAAGTAACGTTTTATGGACCGATGAGTCATGCTTCACTAGACGTGGAGTGGTAAATTTTCATAATCAACATATTTGGTCGCATGAAAATCCGCATGCAGTTCGGGAAAGAAATTTTCAGCATGAATTCGGTGTGAACGTGTGGATCTACCGTAATCGACTATTTGGGCCCTACCTTTTGCCTGCAAGATTAAATGCTGCGACCTTCTTGGAATTTTTAAAGGCTGAACATGCAAATATGTGAGATGATGTTATGTTAGATTTAAGAAGATTGGCCTGGTTCCAGTTTGATGGTTGTCCAGGTTATTATTCGAGAATAGTTAGAAACTGGCTGGACGAAAATTATCCAGAAAGATGGATCGACCGTGGAGGACCAGTCGCCTGGCCTCCACGATCCCCTGGCCTAAATCCTTTAGATTTCTTTGTGTGAGGATTTCAAAAAAGAAAAAGTGTACCAGACTCCCGAAACCACAAGAGATATGCTAATAGACAGAATCAGGAATGCATGTGATGAAATAAGGCCTTATTTGAATAATGCTATACCACGTTCGATCATTCGTAGATGTGAATTGTGTATTGAACAATTGGGTTTACATTTCGAGCAACTACTTTAGATTTTGTATGTTTGTCCTAACTATCCAATAGCATTTTAGTTGTAAATAATTAATTTAATTTGTTAAAAATAATATTGGAAAATTAAACAAATTAATATTCTGTTTTTTTTGTTTATTTGGAGTTATTGCTGTGTTTAAAAACACAATCTAAACGATCATCTTAATTACTTGTAATGCCCAAATGGAAATTGTAAAAAAAATTATTTTCCCATAAATAATTAAAAATGCATCGAACCTTAAAAATCGAAATATCTCAAAAACGGCTAACTATAACGAAAACTCACACGAGAGCTTTTTTGTGTTGAAAAGTGCGAAGAGTCAGTTTTTTTATTCAAAAAGCAAAAAATTGCACTAAGAAAAAATTTTCGGTCATTTTAATACACTACAGGTACAGTAGAGAGCGCCCTCTAGCGGCTACAGTAAAACTATGCCCATGGTTCGTTTTGTCGTACCAAAAAACCCTTGTATACGAATTTTCACTGTTATAGATCAAATATTGTTCGAAATATTTAAAAAAAACTATTTTAGAAAGTAAATTTAAACACCCTGTATTTCGGAAGCCACGCATTTTTCGGCCCATGTTTATATAGACTTTATGCATTAATTTTAAAAGTTCTATCGAATCTTAAAGTTATGCAATAATAAACTGAAACACCCTATATATATATATATATATATATATATATATATATATTAATTTAGTTATGATGTATATATTATTATATTTGTCGGTAATTTTCAAATTCTGAGCTTATTTCAGACAGAACTTTGTAAATAAATGAAATAAAAGCTTGGCTTGAAATTGAATAAAGCATGACGTATAACAAAAAAGTAACAAAATCCAACAACTCTGGATTTAAAACTAGAAAAACGTTTCCCCATTTCCCCATTCATTAGTATGCCTAAAACCTTTTTATTTTAACACCTATTAACCAGAAACATTTCATTGATGTAACTTTACTGCATCCTACCATAATTTTGGTTATAAAACAAAAGTGGGTTGGAGATTTGCTCCATAAAACGGGCTAAGACTCACCCTTACAACTACAGACCCTATCGCTCTGCTTGCTATTATCAGTATATCTAACTGATTGATTAGCGACAGGCAGTATGGTTTTCGGCATCATCGATCAACGTGGGTGGTCCCCACAAACCTCACAACTCTTCTGCCGAACATTTTTGTTACAGCAAATTGTTTTAGATGTTCTGGTTTAACCTTGCAACGGCCTTGAAGGCAACGTCAGCCAAGGTGATCTTCACATGTAAAATTTGCTCTTTTTCTCAATTCCATTGTGAAAAAGGGAGAGTTCGATTTAAAAATATCATCTTGACCTTGAAGGTCATAGACAAGGTAGTTGTTAATACCACCATTATTTGTATACGGTAGGGAGATTAAAATACTTAGAAGTATTTGCTAATGAGCTTAAACAAAGTGTTGAGAACATAGCGATGTAGTTCTTTGAATCAAGACTGTTTTTTACCCGTTGATTAAATGAATTAAAGGTTTGAGTACTTACAGTAGAATGCATGGTTATATGCAAATTAGGGCGATCTTTGATTGGTCTAAGGAACGCCTTTGCAGTGCTGCACCGTAGCCCATCCCTGAGGGTACCATGTGACAAAGTGAACCCAGTCTGTTGGGCAGCGTTTACATCTAACACATCGTAGCCTAGTTCCCTTGCCGCATCTAAGTACCATTGTGCCATGGGAGAATGGTATCTGTAGTATAAAAATTTCTATTAGATTTCCTGTTTTTGCTTGATATGGATTCAAGAATATTAACTACCGTACTGTTATCGCAAAAAATAAATCACAAGTTGTTTTAGCATTGAAAGTGGTAACATAGTCTTCCGATGAAAAAAAAAAACTGAAATTAGTTTAATTTGGTAAAAGTAGATGAACGCATCATCCAACAGTAATGTTACCCGTTTGAGAAAATATTCTGAATACATGCCTGTCGTCTTCATTTTAATGTGACAGGCCGTATTCTACCAACTCCATTTTAACGTAGCATCGACTACCGTTTGTAAGATTTTCAGAGACAGGTCACCTAGTGGTGTATGATACAAAGAGGTTATAAAACCACTTTTGCCACGATTTGAAATTCATTAGGAAGATCAAATTCGTAAGTGCAATATATACTAAGTGACATATAAATCCGAACACCAAGTTTAAATGGTTTTATTTTGATAAAAGTTGGTGAATGTATTTATCTTACTGTAAATAACAAGTGAAAAAAATTTCAGCCTTATCAGTTGGACATTCCGGTTTTTGTACTGCTTTTTTTAATTCATTAACGCTCTAAAAATGAATATTTCAGCCGCAGTAAAGAATCAACGTTGGCGGATTTTGGTTCTTGACATCCTTTACGATCGGTTACGATGCCTAGAGTACGGAGACCTGTACGATTTCGTCAACTTAGTGAGTTTGATAGGGGCCGTATAGTGGGACTTCGGGAAGCTGGACTTTCTTTTCGGGCAATTGCAGTTAGAGTGCAAAGAAGTGTAGACACTGTGGTTAGGTGTTGTCAGGCATGGCTTCGAGAAGGCCGTACGCAAAGAGCAAGGGGCACTGGACGCCGCCGTAGAACAACAGACCGTGAAGATCGCCGCCTAAGATTATTGGCCCTAAGGGACCGTTTCTCCACTACCAGGACCATTGCAAATGAATGGTTTGCAGAACACGGAAGACCTATTGGCATGCGAAGTGTTAACCGACGAATGAGAAGTTTTGGCTTGTTTTCATACCGGCCACACTGGGTCCTACCTTTAACTCGAGAACACCGACGTAATCGCCTTGAGTGGTGCAGACACTATTGTCTTTAGTGACGAGTCTCGATTTGGTTTAGGCATGCACGATGGTCGTGCCAGGGTTAGAAGGCGACGTGGTGAAAGGAGGAATCTACAGTTTTTTGTTGAAAGACATGTTCATCACACTGTTGGAGTTATGGTTTGGGGTGCTATAGGTTATGGTTCCAGGTCACCTTTAATCTTCATCAGAGGTAACATGAACGCACAGCGTTATATCCACGAAGTTCTAGAACCCCATCTTTTGCCCTATCTTGACACCCTGGCAGATCCAACTTTCCAACAAGATAATGCCCGACCACATGTTGCAAGAGTCACAATAGACTTCTTTTAACATAATGATGTCACATTGTTACCATGGCCACCAAGATCTCCCGACGTATCCCCAATTGAGCACGTGTGGGATATGATGGGTAGGAGATTGATCAATTTGCAACGTCCTCCTCAGACTCTAGAAGCACTTCGAGAGGAGTTGGTGGTTGCCTGGAATGAGATACCACAGGAGGACATTGACCACCTGATCAGAAGCATGCCTAGGCGCGTTGGAGAATGCGTAGCACATCAGGGTGCATCCACACATTATTAAAGGTCAAAGGGCTTTAAAGCAGTGCAATCATTTTGAAATTTTTATCATTTACTTATTATGCTTCATTAAATACTTATACAAAATGTTATTAAAATAAAACCATTTAAACTGGGTGTTCGGATTTATATGTCACTTAGTATATATCGAAATACCCATATTACCAAAGTTACCTCACCTGTTTTAAAAACATGGGAAATGTTGATTTATTTGGAAAATAACGTTCTTTTAGTAAATCGTAAAATTCGTTAGTCAAGCCGTGACGTTCGAGGTAGTCCAGAAGCTCACGATTTATGCAGCTCACTAATATTTCGGGATAACGTAAGAGCCTTTTTAAAAATATTTATTTCCGAAAATACAGTAGTGGATGGTACGAAAGTTAGATTAAGACTAAATTTTTATTATACAAGTAGAATGTTCTTTAGCATGAGTAAAACAGGAAACATAATATATCATGTTGCATTTCAACGGTTGCTAGGCGCTGCGATGATGTGCTGACTTGCATTTTCTATTTTCTAGCTGTTACAGGGTAGCCCTATAACTCCTCCACCCCTAGAATGAAGCTTCTCCTGGAAGATTCAGTTTCCTGGAAGGTAGCTCGATTTCTTCTGGATCATTTTATGTGACTTCCTTGGAATTGGAGCAGGATGTGTATGTGCATTCTTATTCTTCTTCACTTTACTTATAACAGAAAGCAGAGCTATAGGCCTGTTGTTGTAAGGGTCGATCTTAGATCCCTTTTTTGGGATAGGTTGGACATGAGCAAATTCTTGGGAAGGTGTCAGATATCTGGAAGAGACGCGAAAGAACTGGGTGTTGATCTCTTCAGAATTATTCAGTGCGCTCATTTATTATTTTTCTTGCTGATACCTTATCACAAATTTTCGTAATAACAATGTCGACAATATCATTCAATTGGTTACTGAAATTACTCAGTGACAAAAAAGCCCAGATGTGCAAAATGTCCGTGATGTTCATAGTACATCGAGAATTGGTGGTCAATGATCTATACTTCCTTGCCATGTTCTAGGAAGGTAAAAAAATGTCTAATTCCTGCACGATTTTTTAAAAAGTATTTTTTCAAATGTAACTCTGTGATGGAATCACAGTATTAAAAAAGCAAAATCCAAAAAGGGAGGTCATAGTCGTCCCCGGTGTTAATTATGATTTTTGGTGAAAGAGGGATAAATTCTTTCAGATACGTTTTTGTGTTGTTTTTTTTTTTTGTTTTTCACCGGAGACTTCGGACCTCCCATCCTCAACCTTCGCTCATGAACTATATATACATATGACTAGAAAGTATGTGAAAGCAACATGTAATTAATAGGTTAGGAACCTGGGGCTGTTAGACTTACGTCAGTTTATAAAGGTTATTTTTTGTGTGTAAATATTACAATATGTAACTAATACCGGATGCATATTTGCCTGCTTGAAAACGGACGCATTTCAGGGAAAGATGCATGTAAAGATAAACATCCTTCATATACAGGGTGGCCCAACGAAAAGGTCCCATTTGAGACTCTCCTGGTATGTTTTGAGAAAAACGCTCGAACACTTCAATTTTGATTTCCAGAGGGACGTCTTTCCGTATATAGCTGTACAATATAGGGTGATCCAAAAATAAGATACTACTTTTCGTTTTTAAATGGAAATCTCGGCATTCGTTGTAAAGCTATTTGAGTTTATAAAAAAATTATACTGCGTGTTCCTTAATGATTAGAAAATATGTAAGGGTGTGGATCTACATGAAAAATTAATGTTAGTTTGCTTTGTAAACTATGGTCCAAAAATGTTTCTTTACAAAAACTCGGGGTGTTGAAGTTTTAGGGAAAAATGTAAATTAATTTTTTCACAACCGCTTCAGATATTTCACTGACATTTATTACATAGTGAAAGTTAATAAAGTTGCATATTTTTCAATGCAAAAATGATTTTTAGCTTTAACAGTGGCGTACGTTCGGGTATTGACTTCGATATTTTTTGAGAAAAAAATGGTACGCCAATGGTTTTCTGTCAAATAAAAATTATTTTTGAAGTCCCCGTTCAATTTAAAACAAATGATCTCTCACGAATTGTTTTCCTTTGATGCGCCATTTTTGAGTAAAAAAATAAAAACGTTCTATTGTCTAACTTGCAAAATTATTATTAATTTAATTGGAAAAATTAAACACATTAGGGGTAATGAACAACAACTGACAGCATAAACATAACATTAAAACCAAGGAAATGATTATAAATATTGTTGAAAATGGCCCCCTTCGCTTAGTATGCTTGCTTTCGCCCTCCTTCTCATGGAATTGCGCACTCGTTGAAATATCCCTGTAGTGTTTTTTATTCTATCACAAAAATGGCGCTTCAAAGGAAAACAATTCAAGAGAGATCATTTTTTTTAAATTGAACGGGGAATTCAAAAATAATTTTTATTTTTCAAAAAACCATTGGCGTACCATTGTTTTCTTAAAAAATATCGAAGTCAGTACCCTTATGCACGCCACTGTTAAAGCTAAAAACTATTTTTGCTTTGAAAAATATGCAGCTTTATTAACTTTCACTACGTACTAAATATCAGTGAAATATCTGAAACGGTTCTGAAAATATTAATTAATTTCCATTTATTTTTTCTAGAACGTACACTCATTCGAGAAACAAATACCAAATAACAGATTTGTATTATTGATTAAAAACTTCAACCTTCTTTCAAACTCTTCTTCATTAAGCTCATTGACGAGTTTTATCTTGTATGGATCTTTCAGAATTCTTTGTAGTGTTGAGCGTGTAAATCCTGAAGAAGTAACCAGTCGACCAGTTCTCTGGGTATTGTCAAGTGCTACGTTTTCCAAAACTGCTATTTCTGCGGCTTCATTTCTAACTGGTGGATTTTCTCGATGGCGATTACGGAGAATATTAGACACAGATCCAGTTTCATCAAATTTTCGTATCGACTTTCCCACATACTTAGCGTTAATATTTTTGTCTGGATGTAATGCATTAAACAACGGAGCAGTAGCTCTTACAATGCTCCTATTTGAGTAATACAGCTTTGTTATTTCTACCCTTCCTTAAATTGAATAAGTCACTGTTCAATATTTATCACAACTAGGTAGGTACCTTAACAATTTGAAATGAAATACAAAGTTTCTCTATGACATACGATGACACTGACTGATGCTGAATGTTCTTGCTGGTACCCATTATTGTCAGTGTTAAGTTATCGAATTTTATCATAAACTAAAATAGCTTCACAACAATTGAAGATAACTGTAAACTTTATTCTACAAAAGTTAACAAAAACTTCATGGAAAATCTGAAAATTGAATAAAGTAAGGGTT